AAGGAAAACCATTTAAATACCCGTGTACAAGCCGTGCAAACACAAGCTCTGCTGGGCAAGCTGAGAGGCAGCAGGCGAGGGCCCGGCTGTGCCCCTGGTTGCTGCCAGGTGCCCGCTCTGTGGCTGTGTGGCCTCAGGCCAGATGGGGTTGAAGATTCCAGCCCACGGGCCCCAGCAACATGTTCTCGTGGAACAGATCTCATCTCTTCTAACACAGTTTTTTCCCAGGAATTGGCCCATACGGAATAAAATAAATAAATCGCAAGCGTTTTGTGAAGGGAAAAAAACCAATGTTCCTGCTGTACATAACTCAGGGAAGCAGATGTTTTTCCATTAGCTCACTGGTCTCTGATGCATTGTCTCTCTTTACATCTCTCATTCATGGCATGTTCCTTATAATATTTTTTTTCCTAGGGTAAACTTCTAGCATGTTACTGAGACAGCAGGTAGCCCACTCCAGCCCCACTGTGAGTATAAGGAATAGTTATCCTAGTAATTTTTCTTTAAATACTGCTTTAAATTAGCCTTAGGTATACCTGGTGAGGTTCACAGACTGTGCTTAGCAGGCATTTAGCCAATCTCAGATCAGATTACCAGACCTACTTTGCTGTGAGTGGCCATATTTGGTAAAGAAGCTAAATTGTCAGATATAAAGTACTACTAAAGACAAAGTGGACATTGTAGTTAAAAGTAAACCTTAAAATAATATAGCAACAGGAGGTGGAATATTAGAACTTAGTAAAACTGGCTTGCAGCATTCTAAAATGCTCTGTATAAATAGAGCATACAGTTATTACTGCCTGGAAATATAATCACACATAGTTCAAATAAGAAATCACTCCAGTTACCCAATGAGCTTAAAACTATTAAAACGATTTATTTTCAGTACTGACACACTTTGCTCCCTTGGTCAAAAGTGATCTTATAAAAATGTCAGATTAAGGTAAATTTTGGTCATAAATTTGAACCATTTCAAATACATATTCCTTAGCCAAATAGCATAATTGTATTTTCTAAACAGACAGGAGGAGTATTGGCATGATTGCAAAAAAGGAAATAAAGGGTATAAATAAGTCCTAGGTCAGACCTTTCTCTTGGTAACACAAGCAAGTATTATCACCAGTAATCAGTAGGATTCCTCTTGTGGCAATTCCTGCAACAAGAGGTGGAAGGAGTTAACAAGCTTTAGCAATGCTGCAAAAGTTACTTCTCTCCTCTCTAAGCTGAATTCAAGCTCAGTCATGAAAAGCAGAACAAAGAGGAAAAATGGGTATATGGATCGCATAAAGACCACCTTTCTCCTGGAGCTGCACCACACCAGCATGTCCATTGTAGCACCCTTCTGAGTACTCTCTGAAATGAGCTGTTTCTCAGACTTGGGGCCAAGAATAATGCCTAGGCTTATTAATGGTAAAGCCTAATGCAACAACTCTCTCCTTTTAAGGAGCCATTACATTTCAAGAGGACTGGGAGGTTATTGTTAAAAGGGACCAGACAAGCTGTGTTAATCACAGCCTTGACTGCAGAACACTTGAAAACAGATTATGCCTATTAGTATTCCTTTAAGCACGCCTGCCACAGGGAGTGGACAGCCTCTCTAGTCTTTGGGGACAGCAGACCTTGTACTCTTCCAAAGCTAATTGTGACTACCTGCAGGGAAAACAGGAAGATATGGAAGCCCACTGCAGAAATGTGCTAAACTCCCTGCTGCAGACGACTGTACTTCCAGCTGGTTCTACAAGAGATGGCTGGACATAAGATTAACAGTGAGAATTCACAGTTTTATTTTGATGTGTGAAAGAGAAGAAGAGGACCTTTGCCATCAAGTAGCTCTTTGGTTGCTTACAGGAAGCTACAAAAAATTAGTGTGCCAAAGCTCACTAGGCATTGCTGCAGGGAAAGCCAAGGTGCAGCACCCATGACAGTGCAGCGCATTTGGGCCTAGCTGCACTTCCAAAGCTGCTGCTTTATTATCTTTCTTAAGTAACTGTGCTGGTCATAAACCCTGAAAAGTTACAGTTTAAAAACATTAAGTCTATGCCCTCTTATGCACGAGATAAGTATCTTTATCACAGGACAAAACAGATTAACTATTTGCACTGGGTTCACAGCCTCGCCTTCACCCACCGTTAAAGGAATGTGCACGTTCTCGTGTGCCAGTTGTGAGACCTATTAGAAGTGCAATAAGGGCACTCCAGCTCCGAGGGACTGAGGGTGCTTCTGCACAAGGCAGGAACGCCTACTGCAGCTGCAGGTGGAGGGTGATTCAGTAAGGATCCCCCTACACAAGCACCATCTGACAGCTACCACCCGCTCACGGTCCCCTTCTAAGTGCATGTGCTGGCTCTGTGGCACAGCCTGGCCTGCCTGCTGGAGAGCTGTTAAGAACAGCCTCCCATGGCTGTGGGAGAGCTGGTTTTGTATACCTCTTTCCAATCTATAGTGCAGAAAGCTCTAACCAAACCAGTCAGTTGGCACCATTAGTTTTTACACCTTAGGATATGAAAAGGCACAGGAACTGTAACAGCTCTAATGAAACCCAGACACGATTGCAGCCTGGCACTCTAAATCCATACCGACACAAAGAGACACGGCCAGCTGCATCCTGTTAGTGTCTGAAAAGGACAGATGCTTTGTTATAAATTTACTGTAGTATGAGGCTAGGAAGTTGTAGTAATTTTATCTGAAGATCTATGATTCATGCTAGAAAGGTTAAAGTTTTAATGACAACGAAACCAACAATACACAAGTAATTTCCCAAAGGCAGATTCACATTTTTTTTCAGTTTAGAGATAGGACACTGAGGTATGAAAAAGTTAGGCAACTTGCCTAGAGTCAGAAGATGCGTCATTGACTGAAAAAGGACAAGTCCAAGCTAAACCTGACAGAAATCTACAGCATGCTGGCGTGGCTCTATCATGTATATGAAGGGACTCTGGATGCAGGCATCAGAATGTTACACTAATCAGCCTGCTGCTTTAACAGCTGTTAATTTTGGGGTGAGCTGTGACACAAAAGCATGTGATGATGTCAACTGTTTTTAACCATGTATTTAAGTTGTTGTTTATGAAATGTATCTATTTTGGAAGTTACTAACTTCTTATGAGCATATCTGTTCCTCACTTCCACTCCTTCCAGATGGGAAAGATTCTAGTACAGAGGGTCAGTGATAACCTTTTCGACTATTTCACTCACTAAGCCCAGTGTAAGATCTGACCCATTTCAAAAGAAATGCTCTAATTACTCAGGTGCTGTGCCCTTCTCCACAGAGAGTAAAGAGTACCCCAAAATACCTGCATCTCTCCTCATCCCTCAAGATAGCAGAATGCAGCAGCTTCCACACTACTGCCTGAAAAGAATGGGCAGTATCTTACCAAGAGCTCATTAAGCTACATCCATAACAATAACTGACTTAAGAAACAAAACTACAAAGCAATCACAGTATGTATTTTCAGCTACTCAATCCTGAATCAAAGTCCAGTTAGAAGTAAGCATGAAACAAAACAAAGATTTTAAAAAATTATAGAATGGGACAGAAAAGTTACAGCTTATAAAAATAATCTAAAAGAATTAATTAACAGCTTTGACAAGGGCAGTCGATTTATGTGTTAAAGCAATTCACAGCTAGGTCACAGCAAGCACTAGGTCTTTATTGCTTTTGTCTTTTTCACACTGCAGCAAAAATGTAAACTGCCTACAGCTATCTGCAGGATGATGGACAACAGACACTTGGCTTCTCCTCACAATGAACTCCTGGTTTTTTGCTCCTCCTCTGCAGCCTTAAATCAGGAGCATAAATTGAATAAAGTATTGCTAATGATTTTGAAGCCCACAGCACATAACTGAAATTTACATACACATAAGCCATTAAGTGAACATATGTGATTAACTTAAAGGATGATGCATTCCATAAGGTAACTTCTTTTGTTCTTAATAGTTAGTCAAATTGTAATAAAAAGAATGTCACATATTTTGTACCAGAACTGAATTCTAATTGGTAGGAAATGGCCCACAAAACCAGCTATAAAAATCTTTGCTGAAGAAGTAGGGTGAGACTGACAGGTTTTATGTGAGAATTGCCAATTGTACAGGTTAGCTAAACAAGAATTTGAAAGGTTCTCCTGCATACAGAATAGCAAATTATCAGCAAGATTCTAGTGGGCTCTGCTATTTTTTTTTTCCTTGCAAATGGCAGCAGAGACACCTAAGAAGCAATCACAGCACTCAAATGTAATTTCAGGCACACAACTGTGGGCCCAGTTGTGGAAGAAAAGCTGTGTCTCTGAAGAGCACAACTGCAGGGTCAGAACTTTTTCTAAGAGTTCTGAAATGCTGGAATGCAAATGGCAGAATATGCTGTGCAACTCCATTCCTCCAAGTGTCCTACATAAAACCCTTTCATGAATCCGGAGATTGCCTCTGGGTAGAGTTCCCTCTCACTGTTCTCTTTTCCTTTTATGTGCCGTGCTGTAGCATCTCTGCATGAGTGCCTCAAACTGACATGCAAACTACAAGTCCTTGGGAGATTTAAGCAGTCAAGGATAAAACAGGGACTTTACTCTTCTTAATAATTTTCACTTAAACCTCAGCAAAGATTGGAAAGTTCACAGTTCAAACAACACTTAATACATGGTTTGCCCAGTCTTACTACAGGAAAGCATGTAGGAAAAGAAGAATGAAAGTAATTGTCTCTAAGAACTACTGTTCGTTAATGAAGAACTACCTACCCTCTTCTTTTAAAAGCATATTTTAGTGATGACTGTAGTTTTCTGTGTGTTACAGAAAAATAGAGGTGCGATGAAAAATCACACTACTCCAGTATTTTATCTGTTATATCGAATCAAATAAGTGGTATTTAAAAAAAAACCAACTAGGACGGATAGGGAAATTTTCTGCTAGAATAAGATTTTCAAGTACTGATTTCAACTACTCTGTTAATACTTATGTTATCTCATTCACCACTGGAGGAAAAAAGGAATTCCAGGTGGTCCAGGCCTTACCAGCTTGTAGCCAAATTTGTTCCAGAGCTGTCCACAGCTGCACAGGTCCTTGCTTCATTGCACTGCTCTGCATAGTTATTTCAGACATGGCCTGTTCCAGTCTTGATGCAGCAAGGGAAGAGGCTCGCTGTGATCCTATGGACCAAACAAACAAGAACAATAACGCATTTTATAATTCTTTGACTCATTAAGACAGCAGGTCTGATTCTCCACTCACTGCATCAGTTTTATGTAATAAGAACTCCACTGAACTCTGGCGTGACAAACTGAGGAACCATGTTTCATAAAAGGTTAATTTACTGAAAAAAACCACTAAACTACCCAAGGGCTGCAGCTCAAACAAGAAAATTAAGAGACAGACAGTAATTTTATAAAGGTCTGCTTAGCATTCATCAAGAAAGCAACTGTATTTTGTTCCTCTGGAAAGCAGAACTCTACCATCAAATATTTCCCATGAATACTTATTACTAATTTGTTTTAGAAGCACACTGTCACCATACAATTATAAAATATGTCCTGCTGATGTAAAATCTTAGTACAGCATTACAGAGCAGCTTGGCAGCATTCAGACAGCACACACATTTCAAGTGACATCAATATTTTTCTATTGGTTTAGAGGCAGCACGGTTTTTCTTTTAACCTTGGGGAGCAGAGAGCTCAGTGCTTTGACTATATTAACCTTTAGTATGTGCTGCAACTTTTATGCAAGAATAAAGTGTTTGGTGTCTGCATCTCTGGGACAAAACATCACATCAAAAGCTACTCCCAGGAAGAAGGCGTGGGCAGAGACCACATTTTCCAGTACCGTCAAGTGGGATTATACTGGTCAGCCAACCTCTCAGAGGGGTACCAAGAGGGTGGTAACAAAATAAGAAGCTACAAAATGAGATTTTAAAGTTGGCTTTGTAAAGCTTTGGGAAATAAACATTTTAACATACATAAGTTTGATGTGACTTTAAGATTGATAAACTCGTTCTCGGGAGAGCTGCTGAGACTGAAGCACTTGCGCTTATTAGCATTACTCTCCACTTTGTCCTTACAGGCTGACCTTGTAGGCCACAAGATTCTGGAGTCAAAATCCCACTTTCTCTCACTGCAGCCATCCTGAAGGAGCAGCAGAGCTTAGGAACAAGTACTCACAGAAGCTCGGGGCAAGGGAGGGGACAGAAGGACAAAAAAAAAAAAAAGTCAAGGGGCATATGCATTAAGTGGTCTCCCTGAGAGGGACTGCACGATTTTCCAGCTGGAGCAGAGCTGAAGAGAGGGTTGAGAAACCACATCTCCTTGACAAAGGAACATGGTCCCCTGGCCATGGTCCCCCGGCTGGTACTCCTCTGAACACTGAGCTGGGATCCAGCCTTCTGCAAGGCATGAGGGGAGGCTCCCCTCGTTTCCACCCCACGCTCTTTTGCAAAGACACCTGTGCAGCACAGGGCAGGACATTGCCCACAGCTTTTACTGCAGCCAGCACTGCCTGCCTCTCAGAGTGTCACGATTAGGGAGAGGCTGCAAATGCAACTCGAAGCCTAAAACTGCTATGGGAAATATTTGTCCCATTATCTCACCAATAGCTAATGTCATTCATTTCAATCAGAACTTCAAAACAGCGCTGCAGCTCAGGTGCCTCCCACAGCTCCCTTGGAAAATGCAAGTATGTTCTTCCTAGATGCATTTCTTAAATTCCTACGTATTTTCAAAGACATTCCTGATCTAATGTTCCAAGAGATGACAGTGCAGTAATGTAGGCAATTATGGCTTTAATGGTATAGTAAAAGACATTCTGCTTTGCACTGAGAATATAACAGTTTATTTAACAGATCCATCTTCAGCCCGATTCCTCCCCCTGCCCTGCCCACTCACACTCTTCTCCCCCATTCTTCCCTCCCTTCACCTGGGAGAAATTCCACAGAAACTCCCAGGAATTCAAGTCAGCCAAGGGTTGTTTAACACAGGGGAAACTACCAGGCACTCATCCCCAGCCATCCAAAACATGGACAGCTTCTATGCAGTGCAGAGGCAACAAGAAAATGGCCACGCGAACAGCTAGCAATATTATTAGGAGCACTTTGAAGTTAGGGCAGAACTCTTGCCTTCTAGATTGGCAAACTTGGAAAAAATTACATGGGTTTTGGCAATTTTGCAGTCAGCCTAACCAGATTCTTATATTAATGCTCCTGATCATGTTAGTATGCTTTAAAAGCAACTTTCAGCGTTCTATTTCTCTGACAAAGACTGCCCTCTTTCAGAGAGGCTTTCTGGAGCTGTGTTTCTTGCAAGCACCCATATGTAACGCTGGTCTGATTGCATTAGGTGGGCAGATGGGCTGGTGTTTTATTCACATCGTCACAGAGCTCAGGGAAATCCTTTTTCCTTGGAAGTCAATCCAAGGAGACTATGTCACTGTAAGGCACCTCTGTGTATTTTGGAGAGGTTCACACACTGCTGTGAGGCTGAACAGCCACGCGGGGTCTACTAAAGCATCCTTCCCTCACAAAGCAGGATTTACAGGAATATCACTATGAGCTATTTGCACTGAAAGGAACATGAATTAGCCATTGCTCTTCTTCTCTTCATTAGCCTGGTAGTTGCCAAGATGGGAAAGCCTGCAATTTGAGACTGATCTTCCCGAGTGAAGTAGGCTTCAGTCTGCAGAACCATAAAAAAGGAATCCAAGTTACTTAGCAATTACAAGAGAGGCTCTTTGCATTTAACAGCCTTTGGCATTCCAGTCCTTTGATGTTTCTTTTCCATTTCAGTCTACACAAGGAAGCAAACCACAGTAGGCAGAGACCATTGCATCTCTTCCCAGCCCTGCCCAACCTCAGACACAGATAAGCTCCTTGTTCTAGACACACACCAGATGAAAAGGCTCTCTCCATCCCAGCCCATGTCTGCACATTTCCTACTGCTGTTCTTACACATCTCTGCTGGACTGCTCACAGGAACGGTCCTTAAAGCTTATCAGCCCAAATAAACTCTGTAAGAGGTTTTTGCCAGGCTGGACCTTCTGGACTGAAAGGGGCTCAGCCACAGCTCGGAACCTCAGGCAAGCAATATGGTGACCCTGGGGGTGGGCTGAAGGCTACTGGAGACAGAAAAGGGTATACCTCTAACACCGCCGACTCCCTGAGAGAGGAAGTAGGCATGGATTGCACCGGTAATCACTCTGACCTCAGGGTGGCGGGGGGGAGCCTGAAAAGCTTCAAGCAATGTTAAAAAAAAAAGAGTCTCTGAATGTCTCATTATAAAATATCTCTTCCTAAAGAAATGTAGATCTTTATACGGTAAAAACCTCACAAAACCTGTCTCGCGGAACTTTAATGTTGTGTCTCAAAATACATGCAAATGTTAGCTTAAGAAGATATCACATCAATTTGTTATTTTAGTGCAGTTTCTTTCTCTATTTAACAGCTCCATGAGACAGAATATAATCTTCACATTTTACAATAAAGCCCTCCGCACATTTTGGAAAGAAATCAAAAATAACAAACTTTATTTTGATGTGATGAGCTCTGCATTTAAGCCATACAAAATATATCTAAATAATTTTAAAGCACTGTTCTAAGGTTGTTTTAAGACCAAGGAGGACCAAGTTTAATATTTTGCATCTCTGAAAAAGCTGCTATCAAAATAGAAATGTACCTCAGTAGATTTACCAGGCTTATAAGAAACACAGAATTCCCTAGCCTAAATCACTTCAGGCAAGAGCATTATAAGATAAGACTAAATCAGAAAAAGAATGAAACAGCAAGGCAGCTGACTGATATCAGTGAAATTAGTTAAGAACACTGCCTCAGTTAGGAGAAGATGAAGAAAATAAAGAGGAATTAATCTTCCTGGCAGTGAACCTAAAATTCTGGCACAGCAAATAATCTCATTGAGGTCTGAGGGAGAAGCCAGTGTCAAATCTGGCCACAGTAATCCTCCCTTCAGTGACGAGCCTGCGCATTGCAGCAATACTGCCACATGCTCCTGGGGGATTTCACAATGGAAACCAGAGCCTGTTCCAGAATGATAAAAACCAACCAACCAAACAAAAATTATCAGACCTCCTACCTCCTTCCAAGCAGCCAACCACAGCCGCAGCTCTGGGGAGGCACAAGGGTGAGAGGGGCTAGAGCTGTGCTCTCTAGTCTCACCTCCTACTGTCTTCAAAGAGGCTCCCAACCTGGACAACGGACCCAGCTGCCTCCTTTCTGCAGATGGAGAACAGCAGCACCTAGAGCCTGCAGAGCAGCAAGCCACAGACCCTTGCTGAAACTAGCCAGTGCCAGTCCTGCACTAAGGCAGATGGTGTAATGTCAGTAGGAGCGCCATCCTTCTGTCCATTGTGGGTGCAACTATGTTAGCATGGAAACCTAGGTTCTCAAAGTGGAGGAGGAATACATTTCCTTCTTGGCTAAAACCAAAGTGCAAATAATTTTGTGTGCATGAAAAGCTGGTTTAAAGCTAGTACTTTACATTAATTTGCTGTTTCTGGCAGGCACTACCATGGCGTACAGCACTTTTTGCTGAACTACAGCTGCTCCATCGCATGCTGGCCACTAGAACTGGGCTAAGAGCAGCCTGGAACAGGTACCCAACCCAGGTGCTTTTTGAGGAGGACACTACATAGAGACCAAATAGGCTGAGTTTTGCTGTGACTCTGGAGAAGGTACTGCAGGCCTGCAGCAGAGGAGCTAGCAAGAGGCAGGAGTAAGGTCTTAGAAGGGTGGCACAGCAGTACATTAAAACATCACAGACTCTGCTGGTGACAATTTGGTCTCAAAATCTCAAACTGTGCTGTGAAGTGGATGTAGCCCAAACCTGTCAACATTCCTTTCCCCGGACATTCACAAAGCAAGGCAAGGAATCTCCAGAAGAGCATGGGATCCACGCTCAGAATGCCTTTTACATACCACTAAGCACCAGCTAGAGCTGAAGGGGTAGGGATCAGTCTGGGCTCAGTCCCACAGTCTAGGCACCATAAGCCACTCACTGTTTCAGCAGCAAAGTGGGAATTGGATGGATAACAAAAGTACCATGGCAAATAATATTTTTTGGTTTTTATTTATTTCCTAGTAATGCCTAGTGGCTGATGGATTCTGCAAACTGATGTGTTTTCTGAACCATTCATACCTTCATTAGAAGTCCATTTTACTGCCCAGCACCAGGGATGATAGAATATATTTCACAGATCTTTACAATTATCTTCTAAATGATTTTGTATCACTAGGAAACTTTCATGTCATAGCCCTTCCCTTTTCCAGATAATTTCTAATATGCCAAACAGCACAGTATATCCTTTTCATCCATCTGTGCTGAATTTGGCCTGTTCTCTTTAATTAAAGCCAAAGACTATAGAACACTGCCATATAAACAATGAGAAAAATGACCTATACAAAATACAGAGACTCATCTCAGCAAAGGGTAATAAAAGGGAAACGGAATAAACAGATTAAAAATTACATAAATATGCGTGTATAGACTCAGTAAGATTACAGTGTCATAAATACAGACCCTAAGGGTTGAGCACTACAAACAAAAGAGCTGACATGCTGAAAAATGTTTTGATGTTTGAATGCTTGTATGCTCAAGACCTAACCTTACAATGCTTTTTAACAATTTGTGGGTGTAAACAGGGGTTAAACGCACATAGTTTAATCAAGTCATGTACTTAACACATAAGAATTTATCCTCCATCTCAGCCATATATGCTGAGCATGTGACTTCACTTTTACCAATTCCAGATGTTCAAGATTAAGACTCAGACAAATCCTAATTCCCTAGCCCCAAAGCATGAGACTTAAGTGTTAGGTTTTTTTAAAACTAAGCTTTTATATTCTTCTTGTCCAATTTTTGAGTCTGTGAGGTTCATTTTTTTGGAAGTGTTTCTTCTACATCCACAAAGGTAGAAAATTGCTTCCCTAGAAAAACCTCCAAGTTAAAAGGCAAGTTTCTCACGTAATCACCTGATTTTGAGAGTTAAGGTTTTAAAGGAAGCACCAAATATCACAAGATTTATGATGAAATCACAAGTCAGCAGCACTCTCTAAAAGCTTCCTTTCCCCTTCCCGCTAAGATTAGCTTTGATGTCTCGGTTATTTCCATCTGACTGTATCTGTTACTGTGAATGGGTATCTACCACAAAACAAAGCATCACAAGGTTTATGTACAAATCCCAAAGCAAATCACCCTCTAGTAGGAACTGACACTCTCAATCAGCTTTCCAAAACCACAATAATAGCTGGCTTGATCATGACACCTAAAAAGGATTAAATTTGGAGGGGACAAAAGGAAGAAAGAAAAAAAACAAGGACTGAATTATACAGTTCTTGCAGAAGTATAGTGAACTCCAATATAATAACTTTCATGCTTATCTCAGAGAGCTTTGTAAATGAAAGCAGGAACTCATCTCTTTGTTTTATGCATGGGGAAGTCAAGGTACACACACACACCACAGTGACACATTCTGCAGCAGAGACGGCTCTGAAGACAGATCTGGACCTCCTGACCACCAGCCCAGTATCACATGTACACACAGCCCCACCACGCCTCTCCCTCTCCCCCAAAAAAAAACCCAACATTCCTCTCTCATAAAAGCATGCATTTAGGATGGGAAAGCACAAATGTTGTTTCCTCACCAGAATCAGTATCATGAGCATCCGGGAGCGTGAGATGCAGTCCATTATGCTTTTTGATCACTGGTGTTTCAGTCACACTACTTCCTTTCTCAGAGCCACTGTAAAGAAACAAAACCGTGTTACCCATCTATCTTTCAGTGCAAAGACAACACTCTCTTCGAAGCAGGCAATAGTCTCATCTAGCTGCCACTGGAACTGAAAACTCAAGCTTTCCAGTTGCAGGCAATCAGCTTCCTGAGTGTGTTAACATCCCCACCCTGCCAATGGACAGGAAGCTGAGAGACACAGTGCCCATCAAGGCTTCCTGGGTACCTGCTGGTATCAATTTATTTGGCTATTGGGAGTCTTTGCAAACCACTGGAAGAGGAACATGTTGGCAGCTAGAAGCCAGACCCGAGGAAGCCAGACGGCAGCCCATGCCGAGGAAGAACAACCATCCCTTGGGCTTGTCCGCAGAAGGATTTGATCACAGGTCTGCTGTGCTGATCCTTTTGAAACAGACAAAATACCACCTTCCACCCAGATGGTAATTTCTTCATTTCAAAGGGATTAGGTTATTCTTTTCTACCTTTGTTGTGTTTCAAACAGAGGAGGAAAATAAAAGCTACCACATAGCATTGCTTTATAAAAGTAGGACTATCTGGTCTGCTCTTCTACTAGACTTCTGTCCTCATAGGAGAGGTCTTCCAAAGGGAAACTCAAAAAAAAAAAAAAAAATCACGCGCCTAACAAAAAATCACTTAACGCATATCTCCTGAGCCTTCCTGTCACCACATAGTCTGCCATCCCCCCAGGATCAGATGGTGATGATATCTCCTCTCATCATCCATTAAGGGACAAAATATCAAAAGGAAAAGTGACTGCCCTGGCTACTTTTTCTGGCACGCTGCCAAGACTGCAGCCAGCCTTTGGACAGCATTCCTTCCAGGGAACAAGCTGTCACAGAATCATGATTGCTGTGGACGCCCCATCTTCCCATCTGATCAGTCCTTTGGTAGGGATTGTGCAGGATTCCCTTGAACTTGTATTAACCTAGCAGAAGAATTAGCTTGGGACTGCTATTTAGTTTTAAACATGATTATTCTGTTACTACAGAAAACAACAGCAAAAGATAAACAGAAAGTTTTGCCCTTCCCAGCTAGCAATCTAGGACTGAAAGCCACGTGTTGTCATTCATCATAGTGGTATTCACATTTACAATGGCTAATTAACCTTTTACTTGGGCTTTGGGATCAAACATAACGGACCCTAAATTCCTGGGCACTTGACTGCACAAATCTCTGGCCTTGACTGGGCCTCCCTGTCTTCCATACTGGTTTCCACACTGATACCCCATTTGAGACTATCATGTGGTGACAGATACAAGGGAAAATGAAATTCTCTGTCCCATGCCTCAGGCTTGCCCAGCCAGGATTAACCCAAGTGTAAATGCCCTGGCTGGGGGCTGCTGGTGGAACCGTAGGGGCATTTCTTTGTGTGTTGTATATGCAGAAACACTGCAGCTGCACTTCAAAATATCACTCCCATGAGGCAAGGGCTGCTTTGATGCAGCAGCCATCACCACAAAGTCACACTTCAGGCACATGGCTGAACACTGGCTTATGCGCTATACTCATACGCAAAAGGACAGGTGAGGAGATAGGTGGATGGCATAAGTTTGGCCACAGTAAAAACTGACCACAGCAGAGCAGCATTCAGAAAAGGCTTGATGAGATTACCTCAGTTAACAAAATGCACCTCAGTACAGTCAAAAGCACAACATTTTAACTGGGAAAAGAGACTAAAATCCCAGCCTGAAAACCAAGTGGACTGCATTGTGCAAAACAGCCACTCCCAACGGCTTTATTTGTTATCCTGGAGAAGGACTGAAAATGAACTACTCCTTCAAAGCTGCAGTACAAGGCCTTCAGCCAAGAAAACTTTTCCATGTACCACGGAAGGGACAGTAGCCAGATGATTTGCCTTCCACATACAGCACTGGAAAGGCTGACAGTGGGACACGTTGCCACTCCACTGCCTATGTTTTTAAAAGGCAGTTGAGACAGTGGATAAAACAGTGACAAAAACTGATGAAGGAAACACCTGATTGTGAGAGACTGCAGAGGCACCAGTTCATCAGAGAGCAGACAAGAGGGGACTTGAGCCTGGCATAATGCATAGCTGCCTGGGGAGAAAGTATTGGGCTCTGAAAGACTCTTTAGCCTAGCAGAGTCATAGTAAGATTGCAAAGCCAGGAAACTTAGGCCAGACAAATGCAACCAAATATAACTAAAGTGCAATTTAATTGTGTAGACAATTAGCTGCTGATTGAACTAGTAGGTGCAGCAGCTCTCAACTTTATGTAAATACAGGCTTCTCTTTTCCAAGAGGCCCTAAAAAAATGTCTGTGTCCAAGTCTCACTGATAAGAATTCCCCTTAAGTTCCTTTGCAAGCCCAACTCAGAATATTTTACATAGTTGTTAGCTGATACTACTGCAATTTGCTTAATACAAGGAGCTTCCTGGGTCACTGAATCCAGTCAAACACTGCAGGTACCAAGTGCATTCTTGTTACCTTTCAGGCAGTACTCCCCAATAGAAAATGCTTTATGACATTTTTCAAGAAAGCCAGAAAGTCCCACTGGGAACAGCAGTGAAATACACATCAGAATTCCCAAAAACAAGAGCAAAGCAATTTGTTTTGTTTAGGCTTCTATGGCTAAAGCTTATCAAAAGCCTCTAAAGCTATCGCATCTTGGGTTTTTAAGTGTAACAGCCAAAGCACAGCTTGGAATCCAAATGCAGTCCAAATGGCTGGACTATTTGTCTCTTTTCCAATGTACTCTCTCCAGTCTCAGGCTTGCAGTCCCCCCTTACAAGAGTAAATCTTACGTCATAATTGTTCAGTGTGGATTTGACCAGCTTCATGAGGACTACACATGGGTACAAAGATTATTCATGTGAGAGGTATGTGATTGAATACTTAGCTAAAGAGACTAAGGCCTAAGGAAATCAATAATTCCAGCCTGTAAGAGACCATTTTTCTGCTGCTATGTAAATATCTTGATTTTTGTGTTTGGTCTGCTGCTCATTAGCTAAACCAACAAGGAATTACGAATAATCCCTCAAGAACAACTTGTGTGTAGTTACACATCATTCTGTACATATACTTCTGGTATTTATAAAGCTTACGTAAATGTATACAGAAACCGGGGAACAATATAAGCTTCATCAGTCTGCTGGTGCGACTGTTGCCATCAAGCATGCTGTCCTTCCTATCACAGAATCACAGAATGTTAGAGACGGGAAGGGACCTCAAAAGATCATCTAGTCCAATCCCCCTGCCGGAGCAGGAACACCTAGATCAGATCACACAGGAATGCATCCAGGCGGGCTTTGAATGTCTCCAGAGGAGACTCCACAACCTCTCTGGGCAGCCTGTTCCAGTGCTCTGTCACCCTCACTGTAAAGAAGTTTTTTCTCATATTCAGGTGGAACCTCCTATGTTCCAGCTTGAACCCATTGCCCCTTGTCCTATCACTGGATGCCACAGAGAAGAGCCTGGCTCCATCCTCCTGACACTCACCCTTTACATATTTATAAACATTGATTAGGTCACCCCTCAGTCTCCTCTTTTCCAAGCTCAAGAGACCCAGCTCCCTCAGCCTTTCCTCATAAGGGAGATGCTCCATTCCCTTAATCATCTTTGTGGCTCTGCGCTGGACTCTCTCCAGCAGTTCCCTGTCCCTCTTGAACTGGGGGGCCCAGAACTGGACACAATATTCCAGATGCGGTCTCACCAGGACAGAGTAGAGGGGGAGGAGAACCTCTCTTGACCTACTGACCACCCCCCTTCTGATACACCCCAGGATGCCATTGGCTATTAAACACCTCTATGGACATTACAGGTGAGAGTAAGATTCCCTAGACAGTTGTACAGTGGTATAATGACTAGGACAATATCCAAAGGGTGTGGGAAGGAAGAAAACCCAATCTGGTAACTTTCACACTTTCTAAACTTTTCCTTTTGGAGGTGAAGCAGATGAGAGGGAGGGAACAAACAGGGAACCTAGCACTGTTTAAATGCAGATTTACCAGACAAGGAAAAGGAGAAAGATGCTACATCCTTCACTACTTTCCTTGCCCAGTTAGCACCAGGCTATGCAACCAGCATGCAACCACAGCATATGACAGAGTCTTGGCCATATGCCTCTCCTTGGCTTACTCAGTTCAGGACTCTGTCACCCCCACACATTCCTGGGTGGTGCCAACTGCTGCAGACTGTGAACAATAGCTAATGGATGCTCAGCATTACTGGGGGCAGGGAGGATCTGCCCTTGATTCTGGACATCTGAATATGGATAGAGATGTTTAGACATTCAGATCAGAAACTCAGTTCAAACTGCTTCAATCTTAAAATTCTAAGTTTTGTTTGTTTTTTGGTTTGTGGGTGTTTTTTAAATCATTGCTATTAAAATCTTGCTTTTTAAAATCACAGCTAGAAATACTACTTATGTTTCTTCTTAAACAACACTGTTTATTACTTATTTTGCAAAAAAGGGTATCTAGACAATTAAAGAAGATAACTGCATCTCCATTATGAAATCTGAACTTGTTAGTGAAGAAAGCCTACCTGTGCTGTAAAACATTATATACCATCTGCCACATCTGCAACATATGTCTGCATGTCACCAGAGCCTCTTCAGGTCCTTTATGTATCCATTCCAGTTTTACTTTAGTGAAGAGTAAGCTGCAAGATGAAAAATAATAACTTCTGTTTTATTGGCATCTCATAAATGTGGAGAATCAGTATTACCCTAGTGAGATCCTGGCAGCCAGTGTTTTTACTTGCTTTGTATGTGCAGCAATAAAAGAAAACACCATAGCACAAAACATTTCATTTGGCTCAACTTTGATTCCCCACAAGGAGATGAGAGGATTAACAATATTCCTCAGCTGCAGTCAAAATTTGCGTCACAAAGCTGGCAGGACAGTGTTAAAAGCAATGTATTACAAAGCTAACAAGGTGAAACATACAGTGAATCTCATTTTATTTTGGACAGCATTAAAAACAGAATAAAAAGGAATTGCCATAATACATATGCCAGACTGTTTTCTTAGTCTGGCATCTTCTTACAGCACTGGCTTTTGTAACAAATTTCAGACAAAAAAACCCAGCACTTAATATACGCAGACAATTATGCAATGCCTCACAGGAAGGAAACACTTTTTCTTAACCCCAGTTGGACATCATCTCATGCCCTTGGGCAAGACAGCTGACAGCCCTTGTACATTCTTGTTCTAGGCAGTGTCACTGCTGGACTGTCCTTTTACCTAGAGAACACATACTTGCACAGAGCCCTGGAATTCAGCAGAATTAGGTCAAGCAGAAGTTGGAAGACAGATTTGGCAACAACATGAACCTACCACTTACCGCTAGCATGGCTTTTAACACCATCCTTCACAACATGCATTGTATTTTTTTTTACTTGCCAAGATGATTGAATTTATGTCTTATTTACTAATGTAAATTTACTTCCCTGCTTTAAATGTTTTAATAAAGTTCAAGATCTAGACATTTTGAATTAGCTCAATACGGCTAGTGATTAATCCACTGGATGCACATATATGTACATACATGCATCCAACATTAACAGCTGAATGTTAAAAATCCTTATCAACGTGACCTGCAAGCTCCTGGGGATTCCAAACAACTTCAGAAAGAGACAACAGAATCTGCACAGATGATGTTAGAGAAGATTTCTCAGCTAAATAAGAGATCCTTCACTTGTAATAAATAGAAAGCTGCAACCAAGGCACTGTGGTGCATACCTACCATAATGTGCTAAAATGGCAGTCCCAGCCTGCACTAACAACCGTTAGGGCTTGGTGGGGTGTTTTTGGTTTTTTGGGTTTTTTTTTTTTTTTTCCCCAAATGCATTGCTTAACTTGCATCAGAGGAAGGGTGGGGGTAGCCCAACTGTATCAACTGCTATAGGGAAGTCTGCTCATGGCCACTGCTATAGTTTAACCACACAGGATAAGCGTTCAACTAAATTCCCCAAGTACAAACTTGGGCAGATCGAAATTCATAATAAGGGAATTTGCCTTTGTCCTTTACTATTTTATATCCCTACTGTATACCTAGCTTTGATAATCTCGTTGCTGGTCTGAGCAAACCAAATACTAACAAAAACCTCCCCTGCTCTTAGAGATGCTGACCCCCTAACTGAAAGTAAGTGCCCTTATTATGAGTCAGGTAGTTATTTTTTTGGCTAGATCCATGGACTGCTCTAAAATTTTGGTAGGACAGAGAATATAACAGTGGACGCACTCTTAATAAAAATCAGACTGAATTCACAGGAGCAGGTAGCAATGGAAACTGGCCAGTGATGCACACAGCGGCTCTATATCTCTTAGTTAACTGGGCTCATGAGAACAAAGCTTGTTTCAATACAACAGAATATAGAATCAATCACTCAGAAGCAAGGAAGATATATATCAGTCTAGAAAGATGGGAAGTTACACCCTGGAGTGCAATGGTATTATAAAAGATAGCCTCATGAACATGAAGTTCCTGAACAACAATGCAGTTAAGAGGTCAAGCAACCCTTAGCATCCATATACGGAAGCACAATCAAGTAGGAGCTGGAAGATGTGGTTATTCCTGTTCACAGCATCAGCAAGACACTTACTACAATCTTGTTTCTAGTTCTTGCTCTTTCACTCCAAAAAAAGACTAAAAATGGGATGAGGTTCAGAAAAAAGTTATGCAAGTGATCTGAGGGCTAGACAAAACATGTCAGAAACTTAAGCTCAGTTTTTGTGGTTTAACTGAGAAGCAGCAAAGAAATTGTTTTGCCCCAGCCTGCAAGCACCTACATGGAGAAGTATCTGTGAGTCTTTAATTTAAAAGAAAAGGTAGGTATCAGAAAATACAAGGATTTGTTGGAAGCCGAAACTAGTCAAATGGAGATTTATAAGTAAATGCAGACACATAACTATCAAATAAAATAGTCTTTGCAGCAGCTACCTTGTGTGCACAGTAAACTGTGTAGTCTTTAAAGCCTTCTCAGCAAGATAGGATGACATCTGAAAAGTAATGGTAATGCACAAATAGAAGCTATGGGTTTGATGCACAGGCTCATGAACAAGCTTATTTGGACTGAGCTGTGCAGAGGGCTGAGACTGCATCACCACCTTCCTTCTGGCAATTACGCTATTAAAAATAGCCTACTAGCCCAAGAAACAAACACATTGAAAAAATCTATGGTACTTTAAGCATAAAGAATATTTTTTGAACCACTACAAACTTTTGAAAGGAAAGACCTAAAGGGCTGTATTACCCTCCTTACAGCAGAAAAGTGGTGGTCAAGGAGCCTGAGGCCTAGAGTACAGTCATATTATATCCCTGAAAAACTCCACGCTTTTGAACACTGTAAGGTGCCACTCTTAATATTAACGAAATAGAAGAATACAGGAAAGAAGACTCTATTAACAGTCAAACTATTATATGGGAGGGTTATATTAAGGGTTCCTTTTCCCTTTCACATTAGTAGGGACAGAGATGGCTCAGTTATCAGCAGGCAATTAAAATCACTACATAGTGTATTTAAACATTGCAGTTAAACATCAAAAAAAACCCACATCCAGATGTCAAGTTCTTCTCTCCATCACTCTGCTGTTTACTGCTTACAGTATGTATATGTCAGCTTCTTTGGATGAAGATGCAATGTTCGATCTCAGGTGAGAGAACAACTAGTGAAACATAGGAAAAGAATAAATCTCGCACAAAACCACAATGAAATCTCAGCATAATATTATCACCAGTTGTAATGCATAGGCACAGAAAGGCTAAACAAAACCATGCAACTTCAGCAACCATCTCTGCAGTGCAACACTACCATATCTCAGAGATAGTGCGTACCCTTAGCTGTTGTGGTAATTCACCTTTGGAACAGTGCTATTCATGATATCATGCAATAATATAATGAACCAAACCAAAAGGCAAATGGGAAGAATGTAAGTGGCAAAAAGAATCAAACCATACTGACATCAGGAGTAAACAATGCAATTAAACATGAGAATTAAAAGGTGGAAATACAAATCTGGACATTACGCTGTATGTGCTATATGCTGTTTGTATTTATCAGCTTCTTATAAGTTTTATAACAGCAAAATCAGATATATAAAAATCCAGGGAAAATACTGAAGTGAAGCAGTATCACTTATCTCGAGCTTATCATTTTCTTACTGAGACAGGACTCTTGCTACAAATAAATCTAATGAGTATTGTGTCACATCAGTGTCTGCACACAACTCTCAGGGGCATAAGTAAAAATTACGTATGCACAGATCTCACCTTATTATATTTTCTTAATATCATTTTACTGTACTTTTGCATGATGCTTGTAGTATTAAACAGAGCAGACTCTTAAAGCGATTCAACATATAAAAAAAGCCTCAAGATTATCAATACAGTCATTGGTAATTCTGGTAATTCTGTTAGCCTCTGAAAATGAAAACAGATTTGGGCTAAAGCAAATGAAAATAATGGAAAATAACCAGTGCTTACGCTTGATACCAGACTCTAAGCTCCCTTCTAGAAAATGTTTTCTTTTATAGTGTATGCGGACAGTATACAAAGGCTTCTATTCCCTGATGTAACATCAGGTTACTGCCACAAGCAAATACACATATCTATCACAGTAACATTAACTCTGGCAAATTAAAATCTGTATACAGTTTACTTTGCTGAGATATGAAGCTCTGAAAATTCAAAATTAGGTTTTCCAAGTATCAAAGTTTCAGTAGTATAAATGACATAAATATCACTATAATATGCCATGCATTGACAAAAAAACAGAGACTGGAATACTGGAAGACCTATGAAAATTTTCAGCAGCAAGTAAGCTACTTTGGTTGATTTCAGGAGATATACAACATCAGTCTTCATCATAAAGACTGATTTCAGCTGCTGATACTCACCATGTCTCAAAGCCTGGCCAAACACACCTACTTAGCCCTCCTGAGTCTTCTAATCCTATGTGGCTAAATGCTCAGCCTTTAAGTTCTTTAACATTACCCATGAAGAAGAGAGGCAGTTATTTCCTATCATTGATAATCTAATTACCGAGGTTTAACAGTTAATACTTATTAACAGAGGTTTCACATGTGCATATGGTATACTATAAATGCTTATAAGCCCATCTGTGGAAGAAGTTGTAAGTTGCTACATTTAATAATAACCTATTAACTACTTTATGGATACTATACAACGATATAAAGTTTTATTAATCAGTTAATTATTGGAGCTTTTTTAAGCTGCTTTAAAATTTAGGTTTTTTGTATCAGATGTAGCCCTCGAACTATACATTCACACAGCATCACAATGGGATCTCTATGACCTATCATCTGACAAGAAATAAATAATGCTAGTACTATAACAGTAACACATTCCATTTTTTTTCATTGAGACACTAAAATAGGAATAATGAGTATTATGTTGTCATTTACCTATATGTTTTACCATTCACTGGCTGCTTATAACCCCTCCAGTTTTTCAGAGCTTGTCAGCAGCTGCTCAAAGATCTACATGTCTCCCAGCTTTACCAGATCAGGGCCATCATTCCCCAAAGTCTTTCATTATTTACCCAGATTTGCCTACCTACACACACAGCTGCTGAGTTATTTTGGATTTTGAATACAAAAGTAAACAAAAAAAAGACACCAAAACCAGCAGCAGTATGT